CCGGGCGGCGGGCGGCGGGCAGGGGCGCGCGGGAGCCGGCGAGCGCTCGACAGACAGCGGCGGCGCTCCCCGCTCTGCGCCGCCCGCGGCTGTGTGTGCAGAGCCGGGCCCGCCCCGGACACTGGCGGCCGGGAGGCCGGCCGCGCGAGTGCGTGAGTGCGGGTGCGTGTGTCTGCCGGCGGGGAGGCGGAGGGGGTGTCTGTTTCATTTTCACTCAGGCAGAAAAAAGCCTGCAACCAGCAAAAAAAAGAAAAGAAAATCCCTGGTGAGGGCGCCTGGGCCTCTTTGCCTTCTCGGGCTGCACGTGGTGGGGGTGGGGGTGGGGGTGGGGTGGGGTGGGGTGGGGGGACCCGGAGCTTTGGAGGGTGGGGTGGGGTCTGTCACCCAGTGGTGCAGGGAGGGGCCTCGGGGCCCTGGCGCGCCGCCAGACACTGGGGAGGCGGAGAGCCTGGGAGGTCTGATCCACCATTTGTTTCCTGGGGAAGGAAGAGTGCAGATGGAGACAGCGACAGGCGGGCGGGCCGGAGCCTGAGCCGCCCTGCCGGGGTCCCCCCAAGTCCAAAGCTCGGAAGTGGGGGCTGGTCACCGGGCACCCAGCGCGAGTCCTGCCCGCGCATGTTCGCAGACTTGAGCCCGAGTTTCCCTACACACCCCCTGGGCTTCTCCACTGGAATTATTTAAAAGAGAACCCCCCAAAATGTACTTGAGAGTTCCGCGCCCAGCATGACGGCGATTCACTTCTGGTGAGTTGATGTAGGCACATCCGGCGGCCCTTGCCCTGCGCTGATAACGGACAACAGGCATCTTACTCCCACACTCGGGCTCACGGCCGGGTATTTTGCCGGTGGAAACGCAAAACTTCCTTTTTCCTGGGTCATTTGTCATTGAACGTCAACTTGAGAGACTGAGAAACTAGCTTCTTAAGTATTTTAATGCATTGGAACTATACTTTGACGAAAGCGGCACAAAACAGGAGTGTGATGTATAATTTTAATTGTTTCATTCTGATGAGAAAGGAACAGAGGACTGATTGAATACTTGAAGCATGCACAGAGGCCACGAAGTGGGCCAGGTGACGCCTTGGAGCTTGGGAGAATGAAGTTTCCTGATGGGTCCAGTGGAGTAAAGCGGTGGGAGAATTGAATCATCAGCCCCACACAGCAGCTCAGGAATGAGGAGCCCCATGGCAATGACCACAATGGGTCCTTTGCTAGAGTATAAACGGGGCCATTATTGTCTTTGGTGAACTTGTAGTCACTCATCAGTAGTGTAGTGAGTATCACCGTAAACATACAATGAGCGATGTTATACTCAGGGCACTATTTCCCATTTTTCATTATTGCATTTGAGAATGCATTGTTTAAATTGCTCGCCCATCAAACTGGATTATAAACGAGTTTTGTGTGTGTGTGTGTATGTTTTAAGAAAACGAAGACAGTAACTCTGACAGTGGCCCAAGTGGTGGTTCACCGTGATCAAAATCAAAAGACGAGGACACCGGAAACATAAAACATGTGAAAACATTACTCTGCTACTGTTACACCTGGTGTCCGATGTCTGATTTCAGCAATGCATCTTCAGCCCTATTAATTTAATTTGGATTTTCTTGCTTTCGTGGTTGTGTTTCTGTTTTCTTAGAAGATTTGTGTGGGCTTTATGGTTGGTTTATAGAGCTGTGAGCATGAGGAGTTCATGCTTAATTTTAGGTTTATACACATTTCAGTAACAATAAGATAAATATAACTTAAGTCCACACTGTGGGTCTGGAAGTTTTCTTGTGTTGCTTTTAGAGGATCCATGTGGTGCTCAAAATTTAACTTCAGTCTTGCTGACGGAACATCTGGGCCGGAAAACACCTTAAAGACCATACTCACTTTGTCTGGGGGTCAGGAGTTCTAGGTTTAAGGATTAGTCATTCTTCCCTTCTGAGATTCATTTGCCTTATATGCAAAATGAGATAAGATGACTAATTCACGGGGAAGGTAAAGTCAAAAGTAGATAATTGTTGGTGATGGGGCTGTGGAACCTGCTGCCACATCACAAGAGTGTGAGGCTGAATGTTCATGGAGAGGAAGGGTGGGTCAGGGAGGCGCCAGCTCCGATCACTTGCCAGGGTTGGCTCCAAGTGCTCCACCTGTACCTGAGCCCACATAATTTTCAGCACACCCTGATCACATCCCCACTTTCCAGGGAAGAAAGCAGAGGCACAGACAAGTGATGTGACTTTGTTCACCATCTCTCCACATATGGCCAGAGTGCTCCGGGGACTCTGAGGGGGCTCCGAGGCCCCAAGACCCTCTTCTCTTTACCTCCTTCTTTCTTGTGACAAATATTTATCAGAACCCTACTACGTGTCAGCCCCTCCTCTTCAAGTGGAAGGACACCAAGCAAACAAGGCTGGGGGAGTCAACAGCCCAGACAATGACATGCCCAGTTAATGATTTCCGGGCAAATGATCTGGGCTCTGAGGGGGAAATACAGATATAGAGGACCTTGAGACTGGGGGGAGGAGGAGTTTGCTAGGTGAAGGGTTGGGGGAGAGAGACCCAAACAGTCACGTGCAAAAGTCCTGAGGTGGGAAGAAAAGGACCCATGTGTGTGCTGGGAAGCTTCATCCTTGTAAATGGCAATTTATTCTCTTCAAACCAACCTCTCGATCCACAACAAAGCTCGACAGAGTTTTCGTGGAACTTGACGAGCTGCTCCCCAGGCCAAGGGCCAGGTTTAAACCAAGACGGTTTTGACAAAGCAGGGAGGGAGGAGTTGAGCACTTGCTCGACCAGATATCACAATGTACCATGAAGCTCTGACAACGGACGCTGGTATGGGGGTGGATTATCGGACCGATGGAACGAAATAAGTAGCCTAGCCAGAGACCCCCCCCTGTACGGAAACGCAGTGTCTGAGAGGTGGAGCTACAGATCAGTGGCGGGGGGTGGGGGACCCAAACTGTTCAGAAAGTGTTGCTGGACCCCAAAGAATTGAAAACAGGTATGCAGACAAAAATGTGTACAGGGATGTTCCCAGCATTACCATTTATAATCGTGAAGAAGTGGAAACAGCCCAATTGTCCATCGACCGATGAATGGACAGGCAAAATGTGATACATCCTCGCAGTGGAATATTATTCGGCATCAAAAGGAGGGAAATCCTGGTTCGTGTCGCCACCTGGATGAACCTGGTGAAATGCGAAGTGAAAAAAGCCAGACGCAAAAGGCCGCGGGTTGTACGATGCAATTTGTGTGAAATTCCCCAAACAGGCACATTTATCCAGCCGGAAAGCAGATAAGGGGCTGCCATGGGCTGATGTTGGGGGAAGTGGGAGGGACTGTTGAATGGGCTCACGGTTTCCTTTCGGGCTGATGAACAACACCGTGGAACTACATGTGCCAGTGGAGGCAAAACACGGTGAATGTGCTACGTGCTACTAAGCAGTGCACTTACACTCAACCTAACCATTTTAGATGTGGATTTTATGTTATAAAATTAGATTCCTAACACACACATACACACCCCGTAACAGACGGGTCAACCCAAAGAGAATCTTCAAAACCTTTAGAGGAAAACATCGTTATTTGACTTCAATCATTATTACCTCAAAAAAAAGGTAAGGGTTTGGGGCACCTGGGTGGCTCAGTCGGTTGAGCGTCCAACTCTTGATTTGGGCTCAGGTCATGATCCCAGGGTGGTGGGA